ATCTATCTATCTATCTATCTATCTATCTATCTATCTATCTATCTATCCCCTTTGTCAGGTATATGTTTTGCAATGATTTTCTCCAAGACCACATATGCCTTTTCTTTTATGTGTTTAACAATGTCATCTTTAGAGTAGACATTTTAAATTTTTTTTTTTTGTGTATGTGCATGTACATTCGTAGTTACCTGTACATAGATAGGCGTGTATGTAGAGATGACGGACACCAGATGACACCCTCTATCACTCTCCGCCTTGGCCTTCGAGGCAGAGTCTCTTGTGGAACCTGGAGCTCACTGATGTGGCTGGAATGACTGCCAGGCAGCTCCAGGGGTCTTCCTGTCTTTGCCTCCCATCTGGGATCACAAGCATGTGCTAGGTTCTTCTTGTGGGCCCAGGGGGTCAAATTCAGGTCCGCACGTTTCTGTGGCAAGTACTTCATTGATTGAGCCACCTCTGTGGTCCCAAAGTGTGTGTGTGTGTGTGTGTGTGTGTGTGTGTGTGTGTGTGTGTGTGCATGTGTCACAGTGCACATGTGGAGGTCAGAGTTTGACTGTGTGGAGTCAGTTTTCTCCTTCTACTTTTACATGGGCTCTAAGGTTCGAACTCAGTCCACCAGGCTTGCACAGTAAGCACCTTTCCCTGTGGAGTCATTCCGCCAGCCGCAACGTTCTTAACATTAACGAAGTTTACTAATTATTCCCTCAAGGTTGTACTTTTAGTGCTGTAGCCAGAAATTCATTGTGAAACCCAAAGTGAACTAGATTTTTTTCAGTGTTGTCTTTTGGAAGTTTTATAGTTTTGTATTTTACATTTAGCTTTGCGAGCCAGTTTGAGGTAATTTTTGTGAGTGCTTGTATTACCTTTTGTTTTTAAGCGTGGGTCTCCAGTTTTTCCAGCATTCTTTGCTGAAAGCACTCTCCTTTCTCCATTGAGCTGCTTTCACTCCTGTTAAAAAAATCAGTTGATTGGCCAGGCACAGTGGCACATGCCTGTAATTCCAGCACTCAGGGAGGCAGAGGCAGGTGGAGCTCTGTGAGTTGGAGGCCAGCCTGGTCTACAGAGTGAGTACAGGACAGCCAAGGCCACACAGAGAAACCCTGTCTCAGAAAACAAAATGAGAAATCGGTTGACTGCACATGCAGCTCTGTTTTGGGGCCCTCTATTACCTTCCATAAATCTACTTTTTGATTTTCTACCAATAAATAACACACTGTTTTCATTACTATGGCTGCTTTATAATTTGCCTTATAACTTTAGATTTCTGAAAAAGGACTTGTGATATGTTATAATTTTAGGTGCAGAGGGACTGGTATGATTTTAATAAAAGACAAAAAAATTTAAAATTAATGATTTTTCTTCCAGGGACATTATCCTTTCAAAGGCTGGTACGAAATTCTTCCAGTAGACTAAGGTTTGGCCTGGGCTCCTTGCTGGCACTTATTTATCCGACAACATTGAAAGCCATAGGCTGAGATGGGGAGAAATCCTGTGGATCGGTTCTTCTTAAACATTATTTTGTTTGTGGCATTTCTGGTGACCTCGTAAGCATTGTAGTTATATACCGTTTGTAGAGATGCAGCTTACTCCCTCAATAGAAACAGTTTAATAATTGACGATCTGACAGACATTTGCAGAAGTGTGCATAAGTCTGAGCACATTCCATTTTGGATTTCTTGCAGATCAACGATGCCTTCCTTCATGTGATGCAGCGCAAATCCACGGGCAAGGTGCTCCTGTCCCTCAAGTGAATCCTCACCCAGGCCGACTCCCCTACCAGATCTCCCTCCTGCATTCTAAAGGGCTGACGGACCCAGGGACCACATCTTGGCGTCAGCTCCCTGCAGTTCTGCTTTCTTGTTGCTTGACCTCAATGTCATCACAGAGGTTCTTGCCCAAGTTTGACTCCTTCTGGGAATAAAGAGAACTATTAGTAATTTTTAAGGAGACCACATCCCCAGGCAAGCCAGAATGTACACTCACCTCAATCAAGGTGTTTCAGCTGCTAACTCTGATGCTCCCACACTTCCTTTTCTATTCTGATTATGTCTCATCTGCTCTTTCCAGTGATCCAACTGGCTCTTCCTATAGCCAGACTCTCCCATTCCCTTCATCTGTGTCACACATCATCACCCTGGCGTCTCCCTGAAACAGCTTTAATAGTTTCTTGTCTCAGGAAACTGGCAGTGTCTCACCGTTCTCTGCACCGTGTGGCCGAGACCCCTTGAGCGGCCACTGCATTCTGACTGTTTCCCTCCCTGATCTTTCTAGCACTATCTCCACCATTCCCCTGGTCTCTAAGCATGCCTCTGCTGATCCCCTCCTTGTCCTCTGTCCCTCAGGTTTCCTCTTGTCTACTTATAAGGCCTTTCTGACCTGCAGGCCTGCCATTCTCCATATGCCCTTGCGGTCAGGAATGTGTTGCTTTCTGCTTCCTGTCTTGCTGTTTGACTTCTCCCCCAGGACTCGCCACACTCCTCTTGAATCCTAGGGACACCTGTGGAGTGGAAGGAACACTGGCTTCTGAACCTGAGATGTGGGTTTCAGTGCCAGCATCCCCGCTGGGGGGTGGTTACTCAAGTGCTCAGCATTTTGCTTTTCCTGCTGAAAAGTGACTATTACAATGTCTATCTTTCAGTGTTGCTGTGGGCAGTTCATGAGGTAACTGGGTAGAGCACCTAGCAATAAAGCACTAGTGAATGGTGGTGTCTTCTGCTTTCTCTCCTTGACATACGGCATGTTACAAGTTCCTCAGGAAACGGGTTTCATGTCTGAATCACCTGTTGACTTCCTATGCCTTCTACCATTCAGTATAGCTTATCTGGAATCTTATGTGGGATTATGTTGCCCTAGAAACAACTCAAATGCCCTTTGACAGGTAAATGTGTAAATGTGCATACTAATCTATTTATATATAGCATATATGCAATATATTACCTTGCATATATATATACGCATATGTGCAGACACTGGAATACTTTTAGCCTTAAAGAGGAACAACATAAAAAGACACGCTACAATGTCTATAAAAAAAGACATGTGTTCCGTGATTCCACTTATAGGAGATACCATGAATCATCAAATTCATCAAGAGATAAAGAAGCATGGTGGTTGTCAGGGGCCCCCTTGGAATAGATCCTGGTAAACTTGACATCCCTTTCAGCAGGAAATAGGGAGTTATTTAAGGCATGTGGAGTTTCAGGTTGGGAAGCTGAAAAAAATCAGTCTGGGAGTAGGCGGTAGTAGTGATTGCCTTAATGAACTCCTGAAGTATACACTTTCAGTTGTTTTTAAAAAATGTTGAAATGGTAAACGGCATGTTTTGCCACAATAAAATAGTTTTTTAAAAAGAAGTGTTACTATTACTTCTAAGTAAATTGATAGGTTCAGGGGAGAGAGAGCTGTGTGTGTAGTGCTGAGTTTGGTGGGTCGGAGCTGCAGCTCTGTGTACATCCTTGACGGTTGGGAGAGGCCTACACTCTCATTAGGTGCTGGGCATTCTGCAGACACTCCTTGACTTGTGACGGTTTGATCTGTGATTTCCCCACGACATATGTATGTTTTTTGAGACAGCGTTTCTCTGTGTAGCCTTGGTCGTCCTGGACTCACCTTGTTGACCAGGCTGGCCTTGAACTCACAGAGATCTGTCTGCTTCTGCCTCCCTGAGTGCTAAGATTACAGGCATACGGCATCCCACTATATACTTATATTTTTTTTCAAAATGCCTGTGAACATAAATTTTTACATATGTGTGTGTGGTGTATGTGTGTATTGTGTATGTGTTTGCATTCACATGTATGTAGGTGCACATGTGGAGGGTGCTCATGCAGTGTGTATCGTGAGTATGGAAGGCCAAGGTCAAGTCTGGTGTCTTCCTTTCTCACTCTCCACTCCATAGAGGGGAGCAGGGTCTCTTGGCCTGGAACGATTGCTGTCAAAGCCAAAGGCATTCAGCAGGCTCCTCACTTTGGCTTTGCCCTTTGGTCTCCTCCCATGCTGGCTGTACACCTGTGTTGCGATGCTCTTGCCTCCTGGTGGGCAGCAGCTGCAGCTCCCAGGCAGTCCCTTGTGTCCTGTTGCTGAGCTATGGTGATCCGTAAGTCAGAGGGAGTAAACGCACGTTTAACTTGTGCGCTTTTCAACGTGTAGTGGGTTTATCAAGACCTAACGTCATTGTAGAAGCAGAAGCAGCTCTGCTCTGTTTGTCCTGGCACTTGAATGACAGTTGCCAAAAAAGAGGGGGTGTGACGGAATATAAACGGGCATCTGACACGACGGGGATGCACCTGGGTCCTTTTGTATATTGATTGGGTCCAAGAAGTGTAAGTGTAAGTAACCGCCTTAGACACCTTAAGAGCAGCCATCTTTGGGGCAAGGAGGATGGCTCAGTGGGAAAAGCTTTTTGGGTCTGGGGTTTAGATCCCTGGAACCCACACAGAAAGCAGACATTGGTGATGGTCTGCTGTAATCCTGTGCCAGGGAGACAGACACCAGTGACTGCTAAAGCTCCGCGTTTAGTGAGAGACCCCACTTCAGCATATGAAGTGGAGTTATTGAAGAAGACATCTGCCACTGGCCTTGGGCTCCCATACTCATGACATATACTGCATGTGTACCTCCCCACATGTGTGTTCATGCACTGTGAACACAAACACCACACACACACATACCACATGCATAAGCAAAAATTGTCTTCACATGCGTTTTGGAAAATGTATAAGGATGAATGTTTAAAGAAACAATTTGAAACCTGGATCTGTTATTTTCTAGGAGGGTGGAGGGGATGCTGTGGAAATTTGTTCTATGCCTTCTGTGGGTCTACAAGGCTCTGCCATGTGTTGCTGTGTGTGGCATAGTCCTACCTCCTTGCCGCTTTGTGCACTTCTACTCCTCGAATGATATAACTTTCTTACCATTTCCCCAAACTTCATCTTCATAGGAGCTAATTTCATTCTTAAATGCAAGTTGACTTTCCCAAATCTCCTGAAACTCAACTTTGAAGGCAACTTCAGCATTTCTCAAACCCCTTCCTTTGGCATCACCGAAGACAAGCTGGATGGTGCCTAGAAGAAAAGGAAGGAGAGTCAGAATTGGGAAAGAGCATGCACATTCCAGCCAGCGGCTGCCTTTTCCATGGAGCGTGGATGATCAGTGGGTGTCACAGAGACTGACTGTCCCCAGCTTGCTATTGTCAAAATGACTTAGATGGGAAGAGGCAGTCGTTAAGGAGAATGGATTTCAGATTTAGCAGGTATTGGTTAGACTCTCTAATGATCTGCTCTCTGCTTGCCTGTCTTCCTGCTTTAGTAGAATGATTTGATTTGAAAGCATCTGACTCATATTTTAGTCATTGTTTGCTGGTTCTGCCATCTGAGCCATTAGTATGCAAAAAGAATCGATATGTCTCCAACAGACAGTGTTTATTCTATAGTCACAAACTTCTCAGTTCTTCCTTGGAGACTGGCGGCTGCAGGAACCGCCCTCGCGGCCTTGCCTCTCCTTTTCAGTAATGGTGGACTTGTCTACTTGCACATGTCTTTCTCCACACTACAGTGAAAGACTGTGGTTGTAGCTCCATGGAAGAACAATGGCGTAGCATTTGTCAGGTCGTGGGTTTGATCCCCAACACTGACCCACACAAAGCGTCATCAACCAAAGTGATATTTTGTGCTCTGATCCATGGAATGATGCTCTCTACTTCTCACCAGTGTACTTGGCAATGTTTCTTCCTGTGTATATGTGTGAACCTAGAAGGCCATCTTTTCTATTTGATCTATGGTAAATGTAATTAATGTGTTGTTATTTAACAAGTAAAGGAACACAGATGTCTTCATTCACTCACCTAGAGTTAATTTTTAAAAAAGTATAAATAAATCGGGAGAGGGGATAGGCTTCCTAAGTTTCTTAAGTTTTCCTTCTAGGATTATATAAGGGAATCAAATAAAAGTGATTTTTCAAAGTCTTCTTTGTGCTGGATTCCACTTTTCCAGTTGTTTTCAGCATCAGGGCTTATTGCTACGCTGCTGGTCTGCGTGGGACACACTGGCTTCTGTTGCTCTCTAACTGTTGGGGACTCGTGTATTAAGTGCTCAGAGCTGCGCAGGGAAGACTGTGGTGGAGAAAAGCTGCAGGTCTACTGGAGGAGATAGTTAAATAGAGCATGAAAAACCAAGCCAGGTGTGGTACTCTTGGGAGGCAGAATCAGGATGAGCATCTCACGTTGTTTGAGGCCAGCCTGGTCTACAGGGTGAGACTCTGTCTCAAGGAAGGCACAACAATGCAACAGTGCTAACCTGAAGTCAGGTGAGGTATGATGGGGGCAGGGCTCTGTACCTGATGACAGCCTCTTGAGAATCTGTCGGAAAGACGGAGGGTTCTGTGAATTTTCATAGGGAAGAATGGAATATTCTAGAACCCCATGGCTAGTGAAAGCCAAAGAAGGGAGGTGAGAGGAGCGGGAGGTCCAGAAATGTCGGTAAGCATGGTGAGATGTAGGGCCATACGGGTCTGAAGGCAATTTATGGGGATTTTGTCTTTACTGTAAGAGCAATGGGATGGCCGGGAAGTGTTTTAGCAAGAATGGAATGTGATCAGAATTGCCTTTTGGATTTCCACCAGCTATAGAGGGGAGGGGTTGGCTGGGAGCATGTCAGGGAGGAGTCCATTCTAAACAAGGAACCACTGTAGCTTGTTTGTTGGTGATGATGGGGAAGGAGAGAGGTTGCCAGAATGTAGGGCTGAGCAGCAGATGAAAGCGAAGGGACTTGATGTTGGGCTGGATACAGGCACGAAAGGGAGGAAAGAAGTGTCAAGCTGACACCATCTTTCTGGACATGTTTCACATAGGAGGAACCATGAAAGAACTAGGTTTGGTAATGTAGAGCTGTGCAATTAAGGTGATGAAGTTCTTTACATACTGAGATATCCAAGATTGTTAAGTGTCTGCTTGGTGTTCTGAAGAGAGGAGTGTGGTCTAGCTATACAAATTCGAGAGTCTTTTGCCTGTGAGTGATCTTGACACACACAGGGTGACTGAGATTATCCAATGGTATGAGAAAGAGTCTAGGGACCAGGAGGATCTTTCTTTTTAAGAGAACAGCAGCCTATTTCAGGACACCACTGAAGACCACTGAAAGAAAGGTAAGAGGGAATAGCTGGGGATTTAAAGTAGGTGACAGGCAGATATAAAGAAGATTGTTCTGTGCAGTGGCTAAGGCACTGTCTCCTGCCTGGAGGGTCAGGGAATGGAGCTCTAATTCCAGCTCTTTGATCTTGGGCTAACATCTTCTCACTTTTTGCCTATGAATTGTAAGGATAATAGTATGTTTTCTCCTGCATCTTGTGGTTCAGGGGAGGGTCAGATGAGATGATGTAGGGGGAAAAAAGCTTTGCAAGCTGCCATTTTCACAATGGATTACAAGGCTGCCTTGTGATGGTTGTGTTTAACTTCACTTCAGAATCAAAGGAAAATGTATGCTTTTTCAGCATATGTTGGATTGGCACAGAGCAAAGGGACTGTCTGATTTTTTTAAATGTCTCTAAAAGGTTTTTACATTTTAGCTGAAGTCATTGTGCTCTTTTATTCAGAATAATGGACAAAGTGATGGGGACCTGATGATTTGATGTACTTCAAAGATACCCAGAGCCAGTCAAGGTCTAGAGAAGGACATCTCATTTGATTAAGAGTGCAGAGAGCGTATTTTAA